AATAAAAATATATTTAAGAAAAAATGAGGCATTAATATATTTTTAGTAAAGAGCTAATGCCAATATTACTAAATAGTTAAATAATATTATAATGCAAATATATTTCTGAGTGCTACTATATATTTCAAAGTTTTCCAGGAATAAATTGATAGGCATGCTGTTTTAGTTTGTCAAAGCTTGGGTGAAGAAGTTCCAATAGATGCTGGTAAGAGTATCTAGTATCCCAAGGGATTCCAGACTTACTGACTCTCCCTTAATATAATGACATGTATGCCAAAATAGTAACAAAGCAAAAAAAGTCATTTGTTTTTAGTTCATAATTCCTCATAGGAATGTGAATATGTGTGTATGTATATATGGATACATTTGTTGGGTAGGTTGGGTGGACATGGGTAGAGTCTAAAATAATAAAGAGAAGTAAATATTCAAAGAATAAGTCATGAAAGCAAATGATGTGATAAAAACCTTCTTCCTGCCCTAGCTGGGTTGCTCAGTGGATAGAGCGCTGGCCTGCAGACTGAAGGGTCCCGGATTTGATTCCAGTCAAGGGCACATGCCTGGATTGCAAACTCAATCCCCAATAGAGGGCATGCAGGAGGCAGCTGATCAATGATTCTCTCTCATCATTGATGTTTCTTTCTCTCTCTCCCGTCTTCTCTGAAATCAATAAAAATATATATTTTTTTAAAAAAAAACTTCTTCCCTTTTTTATGTTGCTCCTTATCTAGGTTAATTGATTGCCCATATGTAGCAACACTGGCATTATTCACTTGTACTGGTACTTGACTAAATGGGAAAATAAAAATTGATGGAAAAATAAAACATGCATCAACAAAAGTCATTGTGTCTGCTTGAGGGAAGTTGCCTGGGCTATGTACAGTTTCCTTTTTAGAAAACTAGAGTTTACCCACAGACACTGTTCTCACTGCAAGCTTATTCTGTAGCACTAGGAACTACACAGAAGAAGTTGGAAGAGGTCTCTAGGGACTAGTAGAGAAGGCAATGCCTAAGGGTTATGATTCCAGAGCAGTTGGAAGATTATATATAACTACGAACACTCCCCACTGTACCACACCCGTCCAAGCCTCAAATTGAATGCTATTGAAAATTCCACCCCAGATCTTTCCTCAGTGCACTTGAGATTGGTCCCCTGCTAAAATGGGAATATTATTTGGAGGGAACACAGCAACTTAATTATCAGTCTTTTATACCTTACTGGAAATGAGGAGCGTAAGACCAAGTTTAGAGATGATGATGTGGAGAAAAGCTAAGGTCACTGGTGCCCAACTGGGAAAAAGCAAGGGAGAACCCACCCCCCCCTCCAATGTGGAGAGGAGTGTAAGAAGAACAAGGAAAAGTAGATTATAGTACAGGCCCTTTGCCTGGGACTAAACCCAATAATTTATATATATAAAATGGAAAACCAATCCCTTTTCCAAACTACAAAGCACTCTGAGACTTGTTAAAAAGTAATGCAGCCCTGGCCAGGTGGCTCTGTTGATTGGAGCATCGTGCCATGCAATGAAGGGTTATGGGTTTGATTCCCAGTCAGAGTACATACCCAGGTTGCAGGTTTGAACCCCAGTTGAGACGCAGTGAGAGGCAACTGATCAATATTTCTCTCTCCCTCTCTCTCTCCCTTCCACTCTCTTTGTAAAGTCAACAAAACTGTATCCTCAGGTGAAGATTTTAAAAAAGGTTTCTAGCCCTAGCTAGTTTGGCTAAGTGGATAGAACATTGGCCTGTGGACTGAAAGGTCCAGGTTCGATTCCAGTCAAGGGCACATGCCCGGGTTGTGGGCCTGAACCCCAGCAGAGGGCATGCAGGATGCAGCGGATCAATGAGTCACTCTCATTATTGATGTTTCTATCTCTCTCTCCCTCTCCCTTCCTCTCTAATATCAATAAAAAATATTTAAAAATAAAAAAGGTTTCCAATAAAAAGGTAATGCATATTTGCATATTTATGCTGTATGTGATGATACTCTTCTTCTGGTACACTGTGTAAACTTTGCTAGCATGTTTAGTATGATATCAAACTAACTTTCTTTATACCTATTTTGGTCTAGAAATTAGCCGGTTAGTTCCAGTTGGATCTGTGAAGGTCAAATGAACAGCAAGATTCCCTCCTCCCATTTACCATGACTGTAATACAGACAAGAAAGAAACGACTGCTTCTTATACTATCACTAGATGGTTTCAAGGTCCCACTCCTGCAATGGGATGAGGCAAAGCTCAAGTATAACAGCAACAACAACAAAACTTTTACTCTACTCTGGGTAAACAATAGGAGAGACATGGATTAAACTTCATTGAAGATTTTTTTAAAGTATTTATATATAGCCTGTCTAAGGTCCAATCCTACATCAGCAGCTCAAATCAGACAAAGCATTTAATTTTTCAATGTTTCCCCACATTTTTCCATTTTGAACATCTACAATGACAGCAAAACCTATTTTCTATCCACTAAACAGCAGGTGTTAATTCTGAGCTGTTGGGGATCTGCCAGTATAAACTGCACAGAAGTTAATATTTTTATGCTTTACAAATAGATCCTTTTGAAGTAGTCTTCACTTTCAACATGTATGCTGTTTTAGACATTTTTTCTGAACTGATAAACACAAGGAAACACATGAGGAAAAACTTCCACAACCCCTTGTTCCATTTCCTTACTAATCTTACAGCTACAATTTACTGATTTACTGAGCACTTGCTATGTGCTGACACCATGTTTGATGAGGATGGATGGATGGATAGATAGATGATAGATAGATAGATAGATAGATAGATAGATAGATAGATAGATGATAGATAGATAGATATTCATCATTGCACTTGATTTTCTCAGTAAACCTGTATTGTGGGTACAATTATTTCTCCCATTTTATAAATGAGTAAATTGATATTCAGAGTACTTAAGTCACAAAGAAAGAAAGTGATGAAATCAATAAATATACACTAAAGAGTGTTATAAGGGACATTTTAGTACTGCATGTATACTTATGTTTTCATGAGCCATTTTAAAAAATGAAAAAGGAATCCATGGGTTTGTACATACAAAAAAATCCTTTGCTGCATCTGTACCATCTGCAGTAAGTTTGTTACAACCTCTAACATGACTAATTCAACAAATCATGGCAAAGAGAAAATATCCCATATGACAAGACTTTTTCCACAGGGGTCTTCCCTAATTCCTGTGTAATACTTTTCATTTCAAGGTGGTCTTGACCCAGCAGCTACCTTTTGCCAGAAGTGGGGAAGAGCTACAGTGATCTATTCTTATTTGTTCATTGGGTTACATCTTGTAACCACCATCCATATTTGTGAGGTGTTGGTAGGGTGGG